TCGACGTTCTATTCATGATCCGACTGGATAGTGGGCAACGTAATAACAGCTGCAGGCCAGCTGAGCTGCTTCCCGAAGTGTTCTGCTAATCGTTGCAGTAGTCTTTTCTGTGATTGAATCGAACAGCTATCTTCCTCCATTATGGTCCCATCAACCACTGATGTTTTACCCGTTCGCTTAACAAGTCTAAGTAATTTCCTGCTGTTCCTATCTCCACTGCTTATCCTATCACTTTAATCTTCGTCACCAACCACTACTCATGGTCATTGCATTAACTCATTATCAGCCTACATTTGAGTTGTTTCCGTTTCTCATTGTGATCGGGGCCTGGAGCGGTGTTCGTGTGAATGCGCTCATTCAGAAGAAGCTGCTGAGATCCACTGTCTCTTCTTAAACATTCTCAGAGTGAGTTAAGGCCTTCCATAAAGATTTTACACAAGAATGGAAATGACACCTTATTCCTTCGAAATGAGTTACATGGTCCTGTTTGAAAAGCTGCTGAAGATATCTTTGGCGCTGATATATTAGAGCTGCACTTGCGATGGTCTCGGATTTTAATTTTTTTATACCTTGGTTTAGGTGCAGAATTACGCGTCCTCGAATCAATGCGAGGTCCTAATGCGAGCATGTTTTTCGGAGTATTGGTAATGTCCTACCGAACCTACCTGGGATAACTGATAACAATATGGTATTTTTGTGTTTGCCGCTGAGTTGGGGTTGGACGGCATGCTAGACAATGTTTCTGTTTTATGTCATAAGTTCGTACTAGCTGTAAATAAGTGGTAGTCAGATCACAGTTGTAGCAAGCGTTCACCATTATATGTTCCTTTGGTTGGGAATCCGAAAGTGGCATCTAAATGCCTTTCTGTTTGACCTAGTCTACCCACATGTGCGTTGAAACTACGTGCAACAACAACCACGTCTAAACGTTTGGTTTTCAGTAAGGTGTTAAACAATTTTTGGTAAACTCATTCTTCACTTCATCCGAACTGCAGTCAGTGGGTGTGTAAGCAGACTGCGAAGAAACAACAGCGAGTTTTCTTACTATTTGATTCTCATTATACCGTTGAGTCGAACAGTGCAAATGCGACTGTCAATCGGGATCTAGTAAAGTAGAGAACTTTCTGCCTTAGTGTTCAGTGCAAAACCTGCACCTGCAAGACCATGAGAACTAGCCGCCGAACCCCCTGGAACTCGAAGGCTGAATTTTGCAGACTAACCACAGCTTCCGCTAAGTGAATAACCTCGCTTGAGCCGTGCATAGGTATCCCACAAACACCTCACGTATCAATAACCCCATTTGCTAGTTTTGGCTAGCGAAGCTTGTTGGCTGATTTTACGAACTGTGCGGACATTGATATCTCGTGCGTGTAGTCTGGAGCATGGCTTCAGGAGGTCAGTGATGTAGTTTCATGAACTCAGGTGGCTATTAAGCGCCGAAAAGGTGTTAGAAATTAATGTAGGAATATTGACCGAAAGATGCGAAGGAAGATTACAAGTTAATTATGTTGAAGATGGACAGTGACCTGGGGAATTCGACTGCTAACACAGTTGTAAGGACGTCTGACAATTCTTTGCTGCCCATACCATGGAAGGATGTCTTCTTGAGGTATCTGAAAAAAGTGTTAGTGAGTGACCACAGAGTTTAGGGAATATCTGCTTGCGGTGCCTTACGCACAACCTTTTGAGACGTTTGAGGCTTTAGTTTGCTTTTCTCGAATTCGACAATGATATCACCGACACTGGTATGCCATGAGGAGGAGGGTGTTTTGACCTTAGGTTTATACGAACGACAGTGCTTCGACACAATACGATTAACCATGGAATACCACTGTGACCTACTTTTAGTGGTTTCACTAACTACTCAGTCATCGATTTCTATCGTCTCAGACACCCTAACTAGGTAGTCTACATGGCTCAAAGCAGCGGTCAGGATTTCATCGAATGGTCTCACGTCTTGCCATCTTGAACCCTCTAATAGGCTAGTCCTACTTCGGCTAGTCGAGGTGGGGAGCGGCTCAGCATGTGCAACATATTTCTAGGCCACATTAGTCGCCGAAGGTTCAAAATCTTCCGAACTGAATAACTTTCCCCATCTAGAACTTTCAGTCTAATCTCCACGCTGACCACCCACTGATTCCAACACACGTAACTAGTGTTACGAAGACACCTGCAGGGAGAATCCAGCAATTCTTTCACATCTACTTTCGATAGCTATTTCTCACACTCCCAGAACAGAACAGACTGCAAAGCAGTATACTCGTCTTTTTTTATGAGGCAATCGGATGCTTTACCAGTTAGGGCCATGGATGACGCCAGTTGGCAATGCCAAACGGGCCTTCTGTGCCCTAACTGATACTTGTCAACAACCAACCCGTTCGAGCTGATATAACAGCCCACGTAAGTGGAATAGTCGCCATATCCCACCACTTCACTACCTATCCTCAAACCTGGAGTAGATGCAGACCAGCCCTGGAGCATAATCTCACTCTTGACAGGCATGGAACGCATGTTAAACATATTCAGATTTCTACTAAAGACGTTCAGAAGACTACGTCCTGTTAGCCTTTTCGCCGAACAGGACAATGCCGTCTGCATACTCTAACTCAACCACATGCTTGCCAGGTAGTGGATACAAACCTGTGGGGTCAGATGTATCCAAGATGATGTCCATTAGTACATCTATAACGAAGTTAAATAGGAGCAGCGACAGTGGGCATCCTTGGTGGACACCATTGGTTTTCATCAATTCTGACAACAACTCTGCATGAACCATTACGCGACTAGGTTCGAGTAAACAGCTCTTATTAGCAGTTTATACTTGCTCGGTACTCCCTTTAGTGAGATGCGAAACAATAATGAGACTGGGTATGACGACTAAGATGAAGGTAGCGTGTAGATACGTTTATGCTATCGACGATGATTCCGAGCTATATCGCCTTGAGTCTTAAACCACCGATTCTGGTTGTCACGTAGACGTGAATCAGGAAGTCGACGTTTCCCTACGCCATTGATACCAGAAGTCACATCTCATGGATTGACACCATGTTTTGTTTTAGTCTAACCGCTCCTAACATCTCGGTCTGAAACTACTCTAGTCAACGGTGATGTAAGTATTGCTTATTTCAGTCACGTGAAACGAAGAAGGCTCACAACCTCCCCAATTGACTTCGCTCTTCTGTGATCGCAGCGACAAATGACCTTTGCTAAAAATAAACTGTGTCGTACACTTGAAGCACTGTAATGTCCTCAACAGACGAACAGAACGAACTAGAGTGAGATACACTCGGCTCCTAATATGCAGTCAGATACGACAGTAGCGCGATAAATGGCATAAGTCGGCGAAGGCTGAGCAAACCATTTGCATCCGCGAAGACTTTGTCGGTCACTGGTCTATTACGGCTGATGCAATATGTTTAACTGCTTCACTGTCCATTCTTATGTACCAGCGCAAGATAGTCTTGGAGGAACAAATCGTAACAGATGGGTCCAAAAGTAAATTAGTTTGCAAATACTAAAATATGGCAAGTGTGATTTAGAATTAAGATTAATCTTAGAAGAGCGTAAATTCTGACAATCAACAGCTTGGAATATAAAGTTACTTAATATGGTAAAATTGAATTTCAGGATAAAGCATGATGACGGGTAACATGGAAACAAAATGAAGGCAATGGTAGTTTGCTGGAAAACACAATAATATAAAAAAGTGGAATGTTAGAAAAAAGCTCGCTTCTATAACCATTCATTGAAATTACAGTAGCGAAAAAGTCTAAATACATTTCTTTTGTAAACATAGTTCCGATCTCTGCACGCATACGGCAACAGCTTTCGCACTGTATGTGGGACGATAGCGTACCACTTTTGGCAAACTTCTTTACATCTTGCAGATGACTTCAATAGCCGAGTCCTCTGTGAAGCTGAGGTCAGTGGTGACAAGGTGTTCAGTTGTTGGTCTTTCTGACGGATCCATTCACACTTCTTTGCAGCCAGATGGGGTAATGTATTTGGAAAGAACGTACTCTGAAAGACATATGTACATCCCCTAACTTATAACTGGTGAGTTGATAAACGCATGAGTTCTTAGGTATGGGAAGTTGTCCGTTTGGTTATAGCCATTTACCAGATAGCTGATACAAGTTACTTTGCAGATATCAGTGACGAAATCACCTCTGAAGTCTAGATTCATGCACTTTATCTTGAGAGTTGAAATGAGTATCTCTGTTCATAGTTTAGGCACTGTTTTTGTCCATAAATTCACCTGGATAACCGTTTTCAGCTAAGCTTTTTCTTGACGAGTTCAAAGTAATCAGCACTTCGGAGACACGATAGGAGTTCATTCCAACTTACATCTATCCAGTGGAGAAAAAATTCATCATATGATCACTCCATGTAGGTTTTCTATAGATAAAAGATGTCGATGTCCCACCGAATTTTCGGCTCCCTTTACATTGCAAGGGGTGATGTTACTGAGAGGCAGTGTGGTTAGAAATGTTTTACGAGCTTTTAAAAGCTGTCTCACTTTACTATATTATCATATTATCTGGCAAGCCAACATTACCTTCTTTTTGTTCCCACGCTACCCATCATCATGCTTTATCCTGAAATTTAGTACATTAAGCAACTCAGTATTCTAAGCCCTTGATAATGTTGGTATTTACACTTTCTTGAGATCAGTATTCACCTTGAATCACACTTGTGATATCCTGACATTAGAAAATTATCTTTATAAATGCTGATATCATGAACTTGTAGAACCTAGTTACCACACTACTCATTATCCAGTACTGTGGATTCAAGTTTGTAGTAAATTTGTCATTCAAAAAGTCTGGAGCTGTTATGTTTCATAAAAACATAAATTTCTGATCCAAAGTCGAAATATTTACAAAAGCCTCAACTGTTAAGCAGTGTTACTAATGCTTCCATGCAGTAGCCGGACATCCGAAATTCTGTTGACCACATAGTGTAGTAAACAATAAGCAATACGTGATAAATTGACTTACTGCAATGAGAAACGCTCTGATGAGCACAGCATCAATATAAAAGTCTCAACTCAACAAACCCGCTCATCCAACATGGAACTTCAAGGCTAGACAATGACGATGGAAACTTATCAGCCAATTGGAAATTATGGAATTATTAAAACAAATCTGCGGAATGAGCAATTTCTCTTTCAGAACCTACTCTTAATAAGCGTTTTTTAGCGAGCGAAATGACGCGAAAAATTCAAAACCCAACATTAGTGGTGTGAGAAGAGGAAACTTATAGATTTTGCACTCTCACATGACGCTTTGAGGCTTAGATAACTTTATTCGGTTATACCCCTTTGGTGGCGGAACTAGACTGTTTTTGAATTCCGAATCAGAAAGCTTCTTAGTTATCACAATTGTCTAGCCTGCTATTTGATTTTAAAACAATATTGCAGATACGTTTTGCAGTCAGTTCATCCAAAAATACGTAATTTGGCTATGTTCTTCAGCCAAACCGACTGGACCGGTTTATGCAGCCGAATCTTAGAAGGCCAATAAGCAGTCATATCATTACCTTGTCACGTACAATTGGGTTTTACTCGAACTGCTGGCGACTGTGGAATACAGATAAATTTATTCTGACTGCTCCTCGAAGGATATAATCGTTACGCCATCTATGGCTTTAGATCCTGCTTTCTGAGGCCCTCAAAACATGTCTGCTGTATTTCTTGAAGATTGTCTGACTGCTTGACTCATACTTTTTCTGCATGTCAAGTGTGCTGAGTAGACGAATTCCCAAATGAAGCCTTTCATAACCCAACACCATTTGGGTCTGGAGGATTATGCGTCTGAGGTAGCAACCACGTCCTGACCACCACACTCAAGGTCCAAAATCCAGTGTTTTATAAGCGCAACCTTTGGATCGTAACTTTTGAGCACTATCACAACAGTAGTATTTTTGGTCTGTAATGCTTACCTGCCGGACCAACCAACCACTGCTTTCAGATCTTGTCATAAGAGTAACCTGATCTCGCCCTCTTAACTAGTTGACTAGGTACTAGTCAGTGCCAAGCCCGGATAAATAGGGAAGGCTGCGCATAGGGCCAGCAACCCTACCCCATGAGGCCAAACCAATCTCTAAAGGTACTTCAAGGCACAAAGAAAATATAAAAAATGAAAATGAACCTATTCCTCACTGGGATTGTTAAGAAGAAATGACGCCTGCAGGTGAATTACTTCAGGAGGCCAATTGGCTGACGCGTCTACCCTCTCATGATGAAACCAAAAGTAAAGATGAGGACATGAAATGTCCGCACCGTGTGTGAACCTAATAAGGCTGCCCAGATTGCAAAGGAGATGGAATGTAAGTGGACTCTCCGAACTGTCAACTGGAGAGTCAATAATCTACTTCGATATTGCCACCCAGATGACAACCATGAGCACACAGAGTGATGAAGTGGCTATCATTATGTCTTCACACAGCATCGAGGTCTATCAGACAATGGGAACCAATCTCCTCCACAATCAGGATCATGACAGCAAGATTCAACTCAAAAGGAAGGAAATTCACAATCATACAATGCTACGCCACGCTCCTACAAATGATGCAGATGAAAAGAAGAAGGAGGAATTCTACAGACAACTGCGATCAATATTGGACAAGTTCCGGTTGGCGATGGTCATATCCGAATTCTAATGAGAGCGGTGACATGCATGCCGAACTGGGAGCGGACAAAAAGTCAGATCTTCAAGTCAGCCAGTCATCAGGAGAATTTGGTAGACATTAGGCGACATCCGTGAAGAAACCTGTGTAGAAGAACGCTGGTACCCTCTGAAAACGACATAAATAGGAAGTATGCGTGACCTCGCTGGGAGGGAGGAAGAAACAAGACAAGGAATGGATCTCAACTGACACACTGAAGCTGATAGAGGAGAGGGGGATGGTGAAGCAGAAGATAAACCGGTGCAAGGACGCACAACGAGAAGAGGAACTGAATACAACGTGTAAAACACTACACGGGACAAAGAAGTGAAGAAGAGTGCATGGAAAGACAAAATACACTTCTACGACACACTGGTAAGCGAAGCACAATAGGCTGTAGGTAAGTGAGACAGAGGTCTGGCGACATTATATCAAATAACCGGGTTACTATCTAGGAAGACATCAACGCGGATGAAACCAATGAGAGCGAGTGAAGGGAACTTAGTCGCCAGAGAGGGGAAACAAAGGCAACGATGGACTGACCACTTCAGAAAACTTGAATCGACCACCAATTCCACCACATGCAACTCGTCCAGAAATACCACCAGCAGTCCAGCCACACAACTATCACTGAACACAAGCTCTCTGACAAAAGCGAAAGCGTGGGCATAGTGGTGTTTTAGTGAGAAGAAGGTGCGCCACGAACCTAACAGTTATTTGTAGAGCTTTTATTGCATTTCTGCACTTCCCACATTCCTACAGTTCTTATCTAGTCCACTGCAATGCGACCACCGCCACATATATCTGAGGCAAGAATTAGCGTATCAAACTTAGTCTAATAAACCACCAGTTTCTGCGCTTCCTAAGCGACTTGATTCTCACAGACGCGTCATCTTGAGGGCAGAATTCAACGAAATTCTCAAACGTAGCATAATCTAGCACCCTCACAGCTCATGGCATCCATCACTACGTATGGTTTCGAGGATGTCACCTTCCCACGTCAACCTGGGTGATGACCACCAAGCTGTTTCTGTGATACTAGGCGGATATGAATATGTCATTATATTCGGTGAATTTGAGTTCTTGAAAGCTCTTGGGAAGTTCATTTGGGAACTGGGGTACAAAATAGGCCGCAGGCGAATTGGATGCTGAAAGAGACTGCCTGCTTTCATACTCATGCAAGAAATTGTGCCACTTACTTGAGATAGTAGGTCGTTGTGGTGGGCTTCATCGACAAGCTTAAAACTGTTTCGCAGTCGTGAGCCGAATAAATACACAGCAGCAAGTATTCGCCCAACCTGTCGTCAAGAGTCATTCAGTGGTGTTGAAACATTAGGTGACTGATAAGTGAAAGAGCATCTTTGGTTAAATGAGACTTGAAAGCTGTCCTGTTACTTATAATAAACGCCTCAAGAGTTGCCGTTGGGACGGTTGTACATGAACAATTACATGTTACTTTGCGGCCACCTGCATGTTTCTCAGAGCAGTTGAATCAGGCTGAGCTCCACCGAAGCACTTTCTGGCAGAAGAATTAGCTGCAAATTTACGTGATGTATCAGCTGGAAGTTTATACAGTCTCATTCCGGAAGCTATGGGGCAGACACTTTTCAATAAGGTTTTGTGTCCTGTCTCACACAGGAATCGACACTAACGTTGAACCGAGTGAGAGACTTTTGCGATCAAATAATAATTGCATAGCAAACGAGTGGGTTTGAACGTTTGTTACCTGCCAATAGTTAAAATACGTCGCCAGTACGAAGGATAAGTGTTATCACTTAGACATTCCGAATGGTGTAGTGATGGTGATCGGTTAGCTATTGACCTAATCAAGAGGAGCTTGTTATTATGTACCTACTAAATCTGCTTTGAATTAGCTATTTTAACAACGTAGTTTGTGCAAGATATTATTAATTCTTTCTGCTGCAGTTGATCATCAAGAGCCAGACGATAATTGCTACAATTTTTCTGCATATTTTCACCCACATTTAGTCGTTACAATTGAAATAGCCTATTTCGAAGGATTAGCTGATGCTAGGGTGCTCTTTTGTGTCAACCTATTCAGTTTTGCCGCGACTGCTTCTCTAAGGCCATATAGACTAAGTCGACTCTTCTGAATAGCAGGATTCTCCTTTATTTTCAGATGCATGTACATGGTGTTCCAAACTGGGGACGCAAAATTATTTCTTTCAGATAGAACTAGTCAAGTGAGTTAGCTCCGAGTGTTATTGTGATATTTCTGTGAACCCTTCGAATATCAGATATCCAGATCTGGGAGCCTAACATTAGAGGAGTCTTCAGCCCTAGTACGGAGGCATCATGTTCGCTAGCAAGGAAAAGAACCGTTACAGAGCAACAGTTGCATATCTCTGCAGGTATGTCACCTATATAGGCGACTAATACAACAAACAGCATAAGTTTTCCAGAATAAACAATTTTTTAAATGGCATTTCAGGTAGAAATTACTTGTTATTCTTCTTTTTTGCCTTTTCTGGATGAATTGTTGCTTGGACTTAAGTAACCCATGGGCGAAATTCATAAGAACATTTGTATCTGGCAAGGCCAATTTGAAAACGACGTTTTAATAAACATTTGCCCGTTCAACATTCGACTGTATTAATAAATAGTGAAATAAATTGAACAAATCTTTCCTTTGCTTTCGAGACGGTGTAAATTTTATCACATTACTATTGAAACTGGGATATAAATCGAAACTGGTGGGGAAAAGTCGACAACTAAGGGAAAGTTATGCGAATTCGAGTGGGAAAAGTCGACAATCAAAGGGAAAAGTAGGCAAGATAAAAAGAGGAAAGCGACTTTTAAGCGAAAAAACCGACCACCAAGGGGAAAAAGCACAAAAGGAGGGTAATGGGTTGCATTTCCCCACAAAGGTCGCTTTGTGCAACCGGTGAGCTTCCCCTTTATTTCCCCTTCACTAGAATTATTTTCTCCTTTTTAGTTTGTATGGGATACCGGTAATGGCAAAATTAACAATGATAACAATCGTAGTAATCACTTAATTGCAAGCGATTTTTGGTGCAACTTGGAAGTCTCAACGTGATGCATTACAACAGCAATAACAACAAAATATCTGTACATGTATGCCCCTTAAAATTTCTGGTACTGTTGTTATAAAAATTTAACGAATGTTGAAAATGTCATCAATTAGAAAATTTTACATTGGTAGTTAGATTATCCGAACGAGATTTTATTTGTTATAAAGTTGTTGTGTGAGTTATATTCTAATGCTTTTTCCCCACATAAAATGCGCGCTAGATAAGGTACAGTCAAATTTTTGTTTTTGTCTACAAAAATGCATAATCTGATGTAACTTTCTTTATGGTTTTCCC